ATGTGTGTGTGTGTGATGTGTCTGCGTGTACGTGTGTGCGTATATGTGTGTGTGCGTGTGTGTGCTGCACTATTAGCCGTGTTTTTGCTTTTGATCGAAATTATAGCTGGAAAATCAGCGCATCTTTTAATCAAAATTCGGCAGAAGCGTTCACTAAAAACCTTGTCAGCTTGCACAGGAATGTTAATCACTAAGCCAAGACAGGTGCCTTTGATATTTTCCGTTCTATCTAACAAATGGATGAAGACAAGTAACGCATTTTGTGGACTCATCTCCATATTTTCTTCGGTAGTTTCCCACCCCTCTGGCCCTCCCCTCTCCCTCCCGTCTCCTTCTTTCAACCCCGCGCTCCCCTCTTCCCCCTCCCAACAACCGCTACATATCATACTGGCCTTAGTTTCTTTTCTCAAAAATTTTAGAGAAGTTTGTGATAACGGGAAAAGAGTACGCTGAATCTGTGATAGCAGGAAATGAGCACTTACCGGCTGAGTACGCTGATAGTGTGGTGCAAGAATTTTCGTTGCTATCTACTTCCGCAATACCCAGTGAGCGGATTTTACCCGTAACAAGACTCATCTCCGTATTTTCGTTGGCCATTTTGCCTATTTCATCTGAAAAAATATACGAATTTTGTTTGCAATCAAATACATTGTCAAGCAGCGTCAAGAAGCACTGAGACAAACATTCTGCAAATAGACTAAATAGGTTTTGCAGGTAACTCAAGAACACAACTCAGATAAAAAAGCTAACGAACTAAAGCAAATTCACAGATTCAAGGCAAGCCTCTTGTCCATTTACAGCTCTAAACTCGAAGTACAACAGTTCCCAAATTGCGTCTCTGAAACTATGCCAAACTTCTTCCCTTTCTCCTACCATCTTAGAAAAGAACTGACGCAAGATTTGAGTAAGTGATTTGATGAGATGAAATTAAATCGTAAAAATTTAGGCGTCTTTTGTCCAAAACGTTGTTTTTATTTGAACCGTGTCCTTTAAGTAAAAATGCAAAAAAGGCAACCTTTTGTGCATCACAGCAACGTGAGGGCTTATTCCCTTACCCTCACTTTCTAATAAATAACAATCGAATGACAGTTTTTATGCGTTTTTTGCAGTAATGCAATGCAAAAAACGCATATTGACGAGGGGTTGTCTGTG